CCCCAAAACCCCAAAACCCCAAAACCCCAAAACCCCGTTTGCAATAGAGAAGCTATACAATAAAATTTAAAATGAGTATTCAGAGTGAGAGCGTTGATGAGAAAATAACTGAGTTTCTAAACTATTCCCCTCTTGATCCCCTCGACTACGAAGAATTTGATCATGATAGGAGCGACTGGGATAATGTCCCTCTTATAGTCACCAAGTTCATCACCTATTTGAGTAAGAACCTTCAAGGACTTGCTAATAAATGCAAAACGAAGTTTAGTGAGGAAGCAGCTAGTAGCGTCAGAGTTGACCTCCAGTTGCAGATCGATAAAATGAACGAAAACCTCCTTGGAGACAAATAGAGACTTAGGCAAAGCTCAACAGGAATTTGATTCAAAAATCCAAATCCTTGAAGAAAAGTTTCAAAACTTAAAAGAAATGTTTAAAGAATCACAGAAGTTCAGTGAGAGTATGGCCACAGATAATATGTATGATTTCATACCTATCCCAGCACAGGACCTAGACATGACTTCCAGATTTCCCTCTATTAAGGATCTGAAGGGAGATACAATAGAAAAAGATAAGAAAAGCCAACTTTATATGGGCTCAAAGATAAAACCAGATGCTAAAAATCCAAATTTAGAGGTTTCATGGATGAATGATGAAGAATTTTTAAACCCTGAATTCTTCAAAGCAAGGATGTTTACTTTAAACCAGATTAGAGATTTGATATACCTTCATCTATCCCGCTCTGAATTGAGTAAGAAGATGTCTAGGCACGAAACTCTTGTAGAATACCACGACAATGCATTATTCGACCAGGGAAGAGCCCATAAAAAGTTCTGTGCAGAGGTTGATTCTCGGTTCAAAGCCACGCATGAAGAGCAAGATAAAACTAATACTGAAATATCTGAGCTGATCCTTAGATATAACAAGAGAATCACTGATATTAACCGAACTCTTTCATCTGATGCAAAGAAACTCTACATGCTCAGGGAAGACTCTGATTATCTCCAGAAGCATCTGGACTTAGCCAAGGTAAGACTCTTTATTAACTTTAGGCAAAAATTGAACGGTTTAATGAACAAAACAAGAAGGAAAGAGAGATCTTAGAGCAGAAGATCCAAACGCAGAAAAATGGAATATAGGTAATCATCTTTATGAAAGGTCATGAAACCTGAGCTTTAGGAATTCGCACTTTAATATCTCTATAGCAGACGAATTAGTTACAGCTAACAAGCGGGTTGATCAGGAGATAGATAATATTAAAGAATCTTTGACGAAGAATAAGGATATGATATTATAGAAGTAATAGAGATAACCAAAGGTACTATAATCGGAGATGTAGACGATCATCTTGAAAATATGAAGGTAAGAAACCTCTTTAACTTCCAGCTCCAAATGGACTCCACTAAGGAAGATATTGACAACTCTTTGAAGCATAATCAGGAAGAAGCTCATAAGAAAGTCTCCAAAATCAAGGATATTTGCTCTACCTACTTTGACAAGTACGATAAGGTAAATGCAGCTGTGGAGAAATAAATTTGAAAAAGTCAACAGCACTTTTGAAGAATGGAAAGAAAAGGTCATCAAACCTCTCAATATGAGCGAAGCCAGGCTCTATACAGTTGAAATTAGGCTCAAGGAATTTGAAGGGAAAATATACACTAATTTCGCACACTCCAAAGAGATGTTTAAGAAGTTAATATTCGCACTAGAGCAAGAAAGCTTACCAACTAAGGCATCTGTAACTTCTTCTATACCAAATGGTCTTGGACAAGCAATCCAGGTGAACTCTGGGGAAGCTTCTCATCATTCAGGGAGTCAAGAAATGAACCTTTTGTTCCTTAAGAGACTGCTATTTATCAAGAACGAAATTGATGAGCAGATATCTGGTAACTTATTTATTCTCTTCAAGATATCAGAATTTGAATCACCCAAAACCTTCCACAGAAACTATCTGAATTATGATTGATACTTGATATGAGTTTTCTTAATTTTTCCATAGAATTATGGAAACCTTTTCTGTGAACTCCAGATTTTTCTCAGAAACTAAAATGACTAAATTAACAAACCATTCCTTAACGATTATCATAGATGGCTCTGAGCAGGAGGAAATAGAGAAGACTAGGAGAATTCAGACGCCTAGTTTCCATATACGTAAGAAAGTGTCACAAATATCCACTGATCTATTCAAACCGAAACAAAGAGTAGCCACTGTCTCTGTGAGACATAGGAAGAAAGACCTAAGATCAATGAGTCCACTAAAGATGTTCAAGAAGAAAGACATCAAATCTAAGCATGGTAAGTATCCTCTTATGTTCTATTATGACTGGTTATAGACTCTCAGATCAAGCTAGACATCTTTAAGAAAAGTATGTACAGCGGAACCCATCTCTTCGAGAAGGAGAAAAAAGGTTCTATCAACCCTAAACATGTTCAGAGTTTAAGCTTGCATATTGATAGGATTAGGAGAGAAGCAGCTCAAAGTTATGACTTGAAAGATAACTCATCTCAAATTCTTAACTAAGAGTTCAATAATCATTTGAAAATTAGGGGTTTTGGGGTTTTGGGGTTTTGGGGG